TAATGAAAGGCTGTTTGTAAAATCTTCTGGACAATAATATTGTAAATTCTAAAAATAAATATAAAGCAATTACAGAAAAATTTTATGAATTGATGGTTTTATGATAGGCCCACAGGTGTTTGTTAAATTATTTTTGGTATTTTTCTGTATATTTAAAATAGTTAATAATTAAAAATTTAAATAAACATATTGGACATGGTTAAAGTATTATTCAGACAAAACTTAAGAGCTTTAAATATACTTATTATAACATTAAAATATCAAGAGTGGAAAATAAGAAAGAAAACAAGCGAGTTAAGTGTTTATCAGAAGCTAATAAAAAGATAATCCAAATAATGGGGAAAATGGAAATATAAAGATAAGAACAAATCAATAAAATAGTGCACAAAAATCAATATGAAGATTAACAAAGCAAAAATTAGTTCTTTGAAGAGATTAATAAGATAGCAAACCTTTGATAAGACTGAATAAGATAAATCAGAAGAAGAATAAGTAAAACATATACTGAAAAGGATATCTACAAACAAGTAACTTTTAAAATAGTTTTTAAAATTATGAACAAACATGTAACAATACATTGGAAATTGATTAGAAAGTGGATTAATTTAGGCGGGGTGTGGTGGCTGACACCTGTAATCCCAGCCCTTTGGGAGGCTGAGGCGGGTATATCACCCAGAAGGTCAGGACATTGAGACCGTCCTGGCCAACATGGTGAAACCTCATCTCTACTAAAAAAATAAATAAATAAATAAATAAAATAAAGCTGGGTGTGGTGATGTGTGCCTGTAATCCCAGCTACTTGGGAGGCTGAGGCATGAAAATTGCTTGAATCCCAGAGGCAGAGGTTGCAGTGAGCTGAGATCATGCCACTGCACTCCAGCCTGGTGACAGAGTGAGACTCTGTCTTAAAAAAAAAAATAAAAAGAAAGAAAAGAAAATAGATTAATTTATATAAAGGATATATATATAAAATATTTAAATGGATGGAAGAATAAATGGAAAACTTGAATAGAGTGTACAAGTTAAAGATATTGAAGTGGTAATAAAATGGCTCCTCCAACAAAACCCTTGGGGAAAGGATAGGGAACCCAAGAAAGGAATAAACAGGCAATGAATATAAAAAGATAATTCACCGAAGAAAATCTGAGTGGCTATGAAATGATCCTAGTGGAGAAATGCAACTTCAAACAAGATCCCACCTTTTACCTATTAGATTGGCTAAAATTAGGAAAATGAGAAGTACCAAAGTGCCCCCAAATAAGGACTGTTGTTTCTAGTGTGGATCAGACCCCATTCCTGCACCTCTGCTCCAGTGCATCTCAGAAAATCCGTTCCCTGTCTCCCTCCCTGCCTCCCTTCCTTCCCTTTTTTCCTTCTTCCTTTCCTTCCTTTCTCCTTTTCTTATTATATTTTCTTTTTCTCTTTTTGTTATTTTAGATTGACATAGACATAAAATACATATATCACAAGTGTACAACTTGATGAATTTTCACTAAATGAACTCCTGAAACCATCACCATCAAGAAATAGAATGCTTCTTGTACATGAGAAGTCCCATTATGCCTCTCCCATTGTGAATCACCATGCCTAGCCTATTTTACTTTTATTTTTGAAGAACGTTCAAAATGATTGCATAATTCTAGATTGGCAGTTAATTTCTTTCAGCATTTTAAAGATGTTTTATTGTCTTCTACCGTTCACCGTTTCTGTTACCCATACTTTTGTTTCTTTGAAGTTAATGTGCCTTTCTTTTCTCTCACTGCTTTTAAGAGTTTTGTTCTGTCTTTGGTGTTTAGTTTCATTATGATGGGCCTAGGTGTGTCTTTTCTTTGATATTTTCCTATTTTGAGTTGTAGTACTTCCTAAATATGTGGTTTGATGTTCATTGTCAATACATGATATTCGTTGCTGATAATCTCTTCTAATATTACTTCTGCCTAATCCCTTGTTTTTCCTTCTGATTTCATTTATGGATGTTGGCTTTGAGAGAATCAATATGTCCAAAAAAATAGGAAACATGATGGAGAATTTTGATGGAGAACTGGAATATATATAAGAAAATCAAATTAAAAGTAACTGAAATTTAGAATACAATAGTGGATTGAATAGCAGAGCAGAGACAGTAGGAGGAATGATTATTAAATGGAAGTTAAGTCTATAGAAAATATCTAGCATGAAGCTGTCTGGATGGATGAAAATATATATTTTCATTGACAATTCCTAATTTTTGGCTTTCCAGAAAAATCAAGATTTTTGTCAACATTGAATTTACATTTCTTATAGTTTCAGTGTGCCTGAGCTGATGGGTTGATGTTGTGCTCCGTATACAGGGATGTGTCTTCCCAACTAGCCAGAGTCACTCCTTTCTATTGTCTTCTACCACTGAGGCTGAATATTAGTTGTCATGGTTTATATCATCCTTTCCCTGCTTCACACATTTACATTGTATGCTGGGCATGGTATGTATTTAAATTCATGATCCATGTTGAAGATGGTATAAAGATACCAAAAAATGTGAAAGAGACTTGGAACTGGGTAGCAGGCAGAGGTTGGAACCGTTTGGAGGGCTCAGAAGAAGACAGGAAGATGTGGGAAAGTTTGGAATTTCCTAGAGACTTGTTGAATGGCTTTAACTGAAATGCTGATAGTGATATGAACAATGAAGTCCAGGCTGATGTGGTGTCAAATAGAGATGGGGAACTTGTTGGAAATTTGAATAAAGGTGACTCTTGTTTTGCTTTAGTAAAGAGATGGGCAGCCTTTTGCCCCAGCCCTAGTGATCTGTGGAACTTTGAACTTGAGAGACATGATTTAGGGTATCTAGTCGAAGAAAGTTCTAAGCAGCAAAGCATTCAAGAAATGACTTGGGTCCTCTTAAAAGAATTTATTTTTATGCATTCACTAAGAGATGATTTGCAATTGGAACTTATGTTAAAAAGGGAAGCAAGGCATAACATTTTAGAAAATTTACAGCCTGATGATGCAATAGAAAATAAAATTCCATTTTCTGAGGTGAAATTAAAGCTTTCTGCAGAAATTTGCCTAAGTAACAAGCAGCCAAATGTTAATCCCCAAGACAATGGGGAAAATGTTTCCAGGGCCTGTCAGAGGTCTTCATTGCAGCCCATCCCACCACAGGCCTGGAGACCTATGAGGAAAAAACAGTTTCTTGGGCTAGGCCCAGGGCCTTGCTGCTTTATGCAGCCTCAGGATTTGGTGCCTGTGTCCCAGCTATGGCTAAAGTGGCCATTGTACAGCTCAGGCTGTTGCTTCAGAGGGTGCAAGCCCAAAGCCTTGGCAGCTTACACATGGTGTTGGACCTGCAGGTGCACAGAAGTCAAGAATTGAGGTTTGGGAACCTGTGCCTAGATTTCAGAGGATGTCTGGAAATGCCCGGATGTCCAGGCAGAAGTTTGCTGCAGGGGTGGAGCCCCCACACAGAGTCCCCACTGGGGCATTGCCTAGTGGAGCTGTAAGAAGAGAGCCACCATCCTCCAAACCCTAGAATAGTAGATCCACTAATAGCTTGCACCATGCACCCGGAAAAGCTGCAGATACTCAGTGCCAGCCTGTGAAAGCAACAGGGAAGGGGACTGTGCCCTGCAAAGCCATAGGGACAGAACTATCCAAGACCATGGGAACCCACCTCTTGCATCAGCATGACCTAGATGTGAGACATGGAGTCAAAGGAGATCATTTCAGAGCTTTAGGATTTGACTGCCTGGCTGGATTTTGGAGTTGCATGGGGCCTTGTAGCCCCTTAGTTTTGGCCAATTTCTCCCATTTGGGATGGGAGCATTTATCCAATGCCTGTATCCCCATTGTATCTTGGAACTAACTAACTTGTTTTTGGTATTACAAGGCTCCTAGGTGGAAGAGACTTGACTTATCTCAGATGAGACTTTGGACCTGGAATTTTGGGCTAATGCTGGAATGAATTAAGACTTTGGGGAACTGTTGTAAAGGCATGATTGGTTTTGAAATTTGAAAGGGACATGAGATTTGGGAAGGGCCAGTGGTGAACTAATGTGGTTAGGCTTTGTGTCCCCACCAGATTTCATCTTGAATCATAATCCCCATGTCCCCAAGTGTCAAGGGAGACCAGGTGGAGGTAATCAAATCATGGGGGCAGTTTCCCCATGCTGTTCTCAGGATAGTGAGATCTCACGAGATCTGATGGTTTTATCAGGGCTCTTTCCCTTTTTGCTCTGCACTTCTGTTTCTTGCCACCATATGAAGAAGGTGCCTTGCTTCCCCTTCCCCTTCTGTCATTTCCTGACACCTCCCCAGCCACGCTGAACTTTGGGTCAGTTAAACCTCATTCCTTTATAAATTAACAGTCTTGGGTAGTTCTTTATAGCAGTATGAAAACTAATACAATACAGTCTAGCAATAGAGTGGAGAACAATGCAGTTACAAGCCCTGCTGTCAGGGAAAAGAAAACAATAATCACATAAATAATTAGAATTGTGATAAATATTCTGAAATAAAAGTAAAACATGCTAAGAAACCCATCATATTTTCTAGTTGGAAGGCAGAGAATGTTTCCGCCCCTAAAAGGTTATTCAAGCCGAGTTCTGAAGATAATATGATTTACTCAGATGAAGGCATGGGTATATGTGTGTTGGTGGAGAATGGACGGAGAGAAATGATCTAACCTGGAAGAGCTGGTCAGGCCTGAGGAGTCAAAGCAAGCCAGTAGGGCTGAAAACAGTTATGAGCAGAAGCCGTGTTATATTGGTTGCTGAGTTTGGAAAAATACATAGGACGTTGGATGCCTTTGCAGACCAAGCAGCTAAGGACCAGCACATTTCATGGTGACTTGATGGTGTACAAATCTGGTCCCTCTGATGACTCTTCTAGTTGAAATAATTTGTCACTGTGAAACTAAGTCATGAATTAGATGACTAGCTGACGTTTAGCCAGGTAGACAAGCTATTGACTTGGTATGATGAAATATCACTGAGTTCATTTTTATGCCTTTGTTATCTCTGTCTCAGCTGCAAGTGTCCACTGCTTGGAAAAGTGTGGGAAGCTGACTTGGAAGCTTGTCGATTGCTTATCCAGAGCCTACAACTCCAGGAAGCCAGGGGCAGCCTGTCTGTAGAAGATGAAGGGCAGATGGATGACCTAGTGGGAGCTGTCTGTTCAGCGGCTCCTCCCATTCCCCCTAGGCTCCACTCCGAGGATGAGAGGAAGACCCCTTTGCAGGCACTGGAAGAATGGAAGACTCACCTGATCCCCTCTCTGCACTGGGCTGGAGGCGAACAGAAAGAGGTCTGTCCTTTCCACATGGCCTCCAGAGGGGACCCCTATTCTAAGGGGTGCTTTGGGACCATGCCCCAAATGGGAACAATAAATATTGGGAGGGCTTCCCATTGAGCCATATAAACTTTTAAAAGTTTCGCTAACTCTTGAATATGATTACAAAATAATGTAGAATTTTTGTAGAAGTTTGAAATACAGAAGAGCAAAAAATCCCAGCTTTTGGCATATTTAGTTCCATTCTCATTCTAATTTAGTGGCTAGAATTAGAATATGCAGTCTAATATAGAATTACCATATATAGCATATATTATATATGTCATATATATAACATAGTTATATACATTATAGATTATATATGCCATACATGACATTTAATATATATACTATAAATTATATATCATGTGCCATATATATTTAATTATATATTTAGAATCTATATATTACAATATATTGTTACTGTATTTATTTGAATGAAACGTTCAAATATATGTATATATCCCATTATTTCTTTTTGCCAAAACCAGATCATAATGAATGCTTATAATGTTCTTCTTTCATATACACAACTAAAGTTTGGCCTGAGATCTATGTGTTACAAATTAAAATATTATTTTATTTAACTTTCTTTTTTTCTACCCTGTTTCCTCTCTCCCTTCTCCTTACTTTCGCCCTCCCACCCTAACAAGAGTCTTTTCCATAAAAAGCCCCTAGGAAGTTTTTCCTGATTTTAGTGCCATGACCTGAGGCTTCAGAGCTCTTTGTCAATCCAGGTTCCCAGGTGTTCTAAGTGTGAAAAGGGAAAAGCAGGTAGAGCCTAGAGGAACGTGACACATGGCCTTCAGGCCTGATGGTTGATGTTAGGTGTTAGCTGTGCCTCCTTTCTGGGTCTTTGCCAAGACTCACCACTGGTGGGTGGGGAAACTGGCACCTCCCCAGGCCAGCCCTGGCAGCCTCACATCCCATCTACAGGACCATGGCCTTCACAGAGCAGACACTTGTGTTCTTAGTCACTGCCTCTGGACTGCTTGGAAAATTGATCCTTAATCCTGTATTTGGATTGCATGGTCTTATAAGATAGCAACCATTGCCACTCTGAATCCCTGCTGGCCCAGTCACAGGCACTAATTAACTTATAGACATCTGAACTCTTTTTTTAACCCATACTGCAGGTGGAAACCTTCAGGAAAGCCTGGCCTCCAATGCTCTGAGGAGAGGTGTTGAAAACTTACCACCTGCTGCAGGTGGATGGCTTGAAAGAATATTCTGGGGTGGAGGGAATGCCACCTAAGCAAGGATTTCTTCCTGGGTGGAAGAAACTGCAGGTTCTGGGAATGAGTCTTTGAAAGTGTGGCTGGCTTTCCAAAGTGAGCTACCAGGAGCTCAGTGTGGGGCTGTGAGAAGCCAAGCCAGGTATGTGATGGAGTCCCTGGGTCATTGATTCTGCTGGAGGCCAGGACTGATTCAGCAGAGATCCCTTCCTCCTGGAGGGTAGAAAAAAAGTATCTTTTAAAAAATCCATCAAAAGGTTCACAGCTGAGGCACCTATACAGACAGAGTAACAAGAAAAAAATATACAAATTTGCTCAATATAAAATTTATACGACACAGGAGCCTTCAGAAATGAAAACCCAAAGCAATAGAAACCAGTGTATTTTTGTGCTTACATTTGGTGAATAGCAGGCAGATGTGGAGAAATATAATTGGACAAAAGCTGTGTGATCTAAATGGCAATAAACGGGGGGAAGCTTAGTAAGGCCTGCTTGTTCAGATTCTTCACTGCATCCCTGTGTCTTCAGAGATAAGGATATTCCTTTCCTTTGGTCATAGGGTGTACACTTCAAAGATGAGGGTGTTATAATCTACTTTAGAGGAAGGTCAGAGAATTATTTATGGCCTGCTTCAGGAGAGATTGGCTGCAGAAGGTCAGAGAGACTTTCCTGCTTCTGCTGTTCCTCAAATGCCAAGGTGCCATATTTTGGGGCACTGTGACCCATCACTCTTTCTACCTCTCTTTCTCCTCCTCTGCTTTACCAACTGAGCCCTAAGCCTTCCAGGCTGTCTGGGGACTGACTTTCCCAGGCATAGGAGAATTAGTTTTCATCCATAAGATTATAAGCACCTGTCAATTTCACTATCTGGCTGTAAGAACACAAAGCTGTATTTGCTGAAAAATAGGAAGCTTAGGGTCAAGGATAAATAAAGAGTAGAGCCTTATCCTAGGTCCTGTGATGGCTGCTGTTTGGGTGCTCCAGGGGTCCCCCAGAGAGCCTTCCAGATCCTCTCCACTAACTGAAATGCTGAGGATGTCCTATAGTTTAGTTGTTGCTTTCTTGGGGGTGGGTGCATGCGTTAGAGGGGACTTTATAGCTTTTGCTGTCTTTTGGTATCATTTCCCTGTTCCTGTATCACAGTGGTGGGTTTATATTTACAGAGAGAGCAGCCATTCTTTGAATTCATGAGTGTCATGGATTTTGAGATGATGTTTTCTGAAAAGTTCAAAATTATGGGTCCGGAAAAAAAGATCAGCTGTTTCCAGGAAAGGGGAAGGGACTCATTACAAGAGCAACAGGAAGGAATTTGGTGTATGGAAGTTGGGGGTGGGATGATCAAAGTATTCTCTTTCTCGATTGTGGTGGTAGTTTCGTGACTATGCATACGTCTAAATTCATAACTTCACACCAAAAGGAGTGAATTTTACTGTGTATGACTTTACAAAAAATATTTAAAAATTTTTTTAGACATCTACCCACTTAAAAACCAGACTGTAGATGTTTGAGTCAGTTGCCTTTGTCTCAGGACTATCAAAAGGCAGTTTGGCCTGCTGGAAGGAGCCCAAGGCTGGAGTCTGAGTTTGCTGTGATCTCCAATTAAGTTTCTTACAGGCCATGTCTCCTCATCTGTTAAGAAAAACGCCACCATCACAATGAGAGGATAATGAAAACTATCTCATGAAGCTGTGGTGAAGATTTAATTAAAAGGATACATCTCAAAATGAGAGATACGTACATAGTAGAGGCTAATTTGCGTTAACTTTTGTTTCTGTCACTCTTTCTGGCAATCCCAAACATCTAAAATGCTTTTTGAATACTATGCTAGAACATAGCATACAAATGTTAGAACATAGCGTACAAATGCTAGAACATAGCGTACAAATGCTAGAACATTTGTATAAAATGCTAGAACAGCTATTTGTTTGGAAGAGGGTGTTACATGACTCAGTCTCCAGGCTTAACATTCCCTCTTGTATAAGGAGTTTGGGGGTGCTTGAGATTTTGAAATTTTCCTTTACATGTATAATATACTCTGATTTTTGTCAAGAAGCAGATGTGAGCAATGAGTTAGTGGAGGATATCTAGACAGAGAAAGGTTTAACGAAGCAAAACCTTCTTGTTTGTATTCAGGTCTAGGATTTTAGACTACTGAAGGTACAGGGGAATGATAACAAGGCTCTCATTAGGAAGGTGTTTTTGTTTTCCTGCCTGTCTCTTCCAAGGAGTCATTGAAGTCTGGGTACTTTGCCTTTATCCTGTGGCTAAAATGTCTATTAGCTTTGCAGCTCTGGGTTGGTTTTGCTTTGTAACTCCCTGCTGGGTCTGACCATCCTACACTGGTTTCTCTACTGAAGCTTGATGCCCTGAAGGCAGTCAATTTCTTTTTGACCCAAATCTTTCATGGAAAATTACTGACTTCTTACAGAGGTCCACAGGGAGGTGAGTTTTCAAAGCCTTTTCCATGAGTATCTGGCCAACGTGGTGATGTGCATTCTGGTGATACTTTGGTATCAGAAGGACTTTGTCATTAATTAACACCTTCCCTGTGTCTGTGGTCCTTGCTAGGCTGCTGAGCACCATTCCCCCATTTTACAGCTGGACGCATTAAGGCAAAGAAATTTGCTTTGGACTTTGTTACAGAGGAAGTCAGCATTGGGGCTCAGTGCCAATCTTAGCATGAATTTCCTCGAATTGTAAGAGTGCTTTTCTTTTCCAGTTTCATGACAGCTCTCCTCCAGGCCTTTTCAAGGACTCTGGAAACGATCAGCTGCCACTGGCCCTGGTTCATAAATGTTACAGAAATTGTATTTGGGCCAGACAGGAGCCAGGGAAATCGGTGAGCCAGGCTTCCTCCGCTGTGAAGTGGCTCTTTTGTACTGACTGTTCTGGCTATAATACCTGCGTGATTCTTTTCTTTCCTGTCTGTAACCCGGCCTGTGGGGTGTTTTCTGTTTCTACTACTGTTTCTACATAATGGGCTCCCTGGACGGTATCACTCCCCCAGACTTCTCATCCCAGCTGCTTCCTTTCTGAGCCAGTAGCTCCCACCAAAGAGGCCAAAAGAGGACCTGGCAATGTTGAGTCATCGCGTGCAATATGTGAGTGCCAGTGTGTGAACACAGCTGTAATGAAAAGAATTAGCAATAAGACACAACCCAACCGTGTAGCCTCATTTGTTCAGATTTAGGTCTTCAAAAAGCGTTGTAAGTTTAGGGGTGGAAAGGTGTGATACCTTTCCTCAGCCATCACAAGGGCTAACGCTCCTGTAACAAAAACAAGTTAACATCAGAAAAAATAACACATTTATTTAATCGGAGTTTTACGTGACACAGTAGGCTTCAGAAGTGAAGACCCAAAGACCCAGGGAAAACTATTTTTATGCTTAAGTTTAAATAGCTATGAAGGAAGGTGACCGGACAAAATGGGTACGATCTAACGGTTATAGATTCAGGGGGTGAGCAGACCAGTAAGGCCTGTCTGTTCAGATTCTTCTTGGATGCTCTGTGTAGCATTTCTTCCCCTTGGGTATGGGGCAGGACTCCTCTGGACTGAGGGTCTTCAAGGGAGAAGGAAGAGAGTGACCTTTCTAGGTTTTATGGTTTCTTTAGGGGAGAGGAGTCCTAGTTTCTATGATTGGCTTTGAGGAAGAGGAATTCTGGTTTCTATGGCTTGCATCCAGGGAGGAAAAAGGAGTGTGAGAGAGGAGGGCAGGAGAAGGTCAGAGAGACTTTGCTTCTGAGCCCTTCCAATCTCCTTTAGTTCAAAGTACTCAGCATGCCCGAGTGTCACACTTTGAGGTATCATGCTGTGAGCCACAGCGTAGGCATCTCCATTCCTTTTTACTCAATTTCTCATGAAAAAAAAATCTGGAAAAGGTGATTCACAATGGAGATGTTTGTCCTCCTCATCTTCAACTGATTTCCAATTCCAGAACTATCTCTGCTTGGCAAAAGTGCTTCCTGTTTAGCCATAGCTGGTCCAGATCTGATTCTTTCTTTTCTCTGACATTTACTGGTTCTGGGACATCTGGAAACTCACTTTGACTCTCCAAAGAGCACACCCCAACCACATGATCTCTTGCCATCTCCTCCACTTTTGACAAGAACTGACAAGGGGAAAATGTTCACTTACCCATCAGCTGGTTTTGCTCTTTTTGTTAATGTCTTTGGGGAGAAAGCAAAGAGCTAGGACATAAAGAAAAGTTCTATCTCCACTACATTTTGAAGTTTTGCAAACCCAGCCATCTTAAGAGTAGAGCGCTAGAGGCAAGCAGGATGCAACCAGGGTTGGTGATTTGCTGGTTAATTAAAAAGTCAGAAAAGGCAGAGAATCATCAAAGATGATACATG